GAAAACCGTGTGCGTCAGAGAACTTCAGGAAAGTGGTCGTGCGTAGCGAGTAGCTAGGAAAATGTTAAGGAATTTTGTTTGGGCACTCTGTGGTGTGGGGCACATCGACGGATACAGACAACTCTTCATCATGCCCTTGCAGAGAGGGGAAAGTTAAGGTAGGAATTCCCCTGGGTACATGGCCGGGCAATTCAAGAGAGATCCAGAATTTGAAAGCATACTGCTGAATATTAATATGGTGTATTTCATGGGTCTGTTGTCTATGATTATATATGCTTTAAAATCGGTAGCGCAAGTGTTTTTCTTAGTTTTTTTGAGCTTTTAGGTGAGAGTGAGGACATTCTGAATTTCAGGAATAGTGATGAACTATGCTAAATATTGATGATAATGATATTTTATAATTTTAAATTATATTTGGTATTTACTATTTCTGTTATGTACATATTACACGGATATTTTTAGCCAAGATGTGATTGCACAGTTATAATTTTTACATAGTTTATAGAATTGCAGTCCGAAAACTTTAAGGCTTCCTTTCAGAATCGTAGCCCAAATATTTTTATCAAGTTTTGGAGGTAGGACACACCCAATTTTAGAAATGGCACAAGTTATAAACACCCCCGAGCGTGATAAACGTGATATAATGAATATTGATGACAATGATTTATATAGGCAGCTGTTTCAAAAAATGTTCTGTCTGGATAGCTGGATGAATGCTGTTGGATAAAGATAGAGGTTGAATAGAAACAATAGAAAAATGTTGAGAATGATTAAACATTTTTACAGGGCAAGCATTGGAGAGTATGGCATCAAGAAGGTTGATTTTGACGAACCACTTAAGAGATAGGTTGAGGAGCTTGGAATCGTTCCCAAGGGATACATCTTAAAAATGTACCCTAAGAAGACTGAAAGATATCCACTTTTTGAGCAGTTGTGGTTCTGGTTGGCCTCGAGTGACATAAAAATGACAGAATATCCATTCAAATTTTTCCAACTTCACTCAAGGCCAACCAGAGCCAGAAGCGCTCAAAATGAATTTGCTTTCTGCTTGCATGATCAGCTGTCCTTTTTTGACATTGTTCCGCGATAGATACTCGCAAAAAATAGTATAACGCTTACACTTCTGACTTGACTTAACTTAAGGCAAGTTCTTTTCGCAGCGGTTCTGATTCTTGTTGACTTTGAGTGACATAGAAATGACAAAATTTGAATTGAATTCTGTCATTTTTATGTCATTTAAGGTCGACCAGATTCAGAACCGCTGTAAAGAGAATTTGATTCAAAGTAGATTTTACGTATAATTCGATCCATAGATTATTATTATAGACTTCCGACTTCGTAGTAAACAAAACAGATGGCGCGAGCATCTTAAACGAAAAACTGTAGAATTGAAGGCCCGAACTGAATACATGAAAGATTTTTGGAAGTTGAAAATCTACAGTTAAAACTGTACGGGAGGCAGCCCTACCGACCGCTGTTCGATCAAACCGAAAACTGGGAATTTATAAAAGTGTTCTGAGCCATTAACGTTCTACCGCATAGACACTGGGAGAGTTGTCGGAGTATTTTTTATTACTAGTGGTCTTGGCATTTTCGTACTGAATGGGCCCGAGATTCGGTTGCAGCGACCCAAAGAACGTTGTTGGGCTCACATTCTCGACTATCCAAATTTTGCAATTTTGGAACTATACATGGAAACTAAAACTTAGAATGCTACAAATGCGGTTCAAATGACCTCTATAGTACATATGTTGAGTCGCTAAAGTCAAATCCGATGTCATTTCATATGTTTCTAATTCTAATCCCTTTAAACATGTAGATCTAATTACTTAGCCAAAAATTGTAAAACTATACGTTTTTTGCGACTTTACGGTGCAAAAAAAATCCATTTTTATTTTCGATGGTTACATGTGAGCGGAACTGTACAATATAGTAACTTGGGGCGCTGAATATGAGTATCATAAAAAGACAATAAACTCTAAAGGGTCATCGGACCTTTATTTGGGGTGAAATTGGTAAGAAACTTAATTCGGGGCTACCCGCGGATCATAGCACTGAACTGCCATCAAATTCGGAATCTACGTACACAATTTACCTATAAAACCAGCTTGCATCTAGAATCTAGATAATAGACCCGCAACAGTTTTTATTGGTCGTTTGTTGACAAAGTTGAATTCCTGCCATTATCTCAAAAACGAGGACTTTTCGAACTGAATTTACCCCGAATCCGGTTTTAACGACCCAAAAAACGTATTATAAGAAAGGTTGGGTTCACTGGCCCATTTTTGCAAATTTAGAACATAATACCCCTAAAAATTAAAATGCTTCAGGTGCGGTTCAAATGACCCCTATCGTACGTATTTTGGGTCGTCAAAACCCAATCTGATGTCATTTCACATATACAATATGTGTGTGTGTGTACGTGTGTCTGTGTGTGTGACGAAATTGGCATCCGGCGGGACCCATTTGCCACATACCGTTTATGAGTGATTTGGGTATATATGTAAATGTTTTGGTTTTATGTAAGAATTCTATAAGTAAAGAAGACAAGTAGCATTGGTGGGTAGCGGAATATCTAAATTATTTAATTGTGTCATTAGATGAGATGATGCATCACTATTCCTCGCACGCTCAAAAAAGATATGGTTCATCACGTATCAAAGAGCCATTGCATTGGCCGAAGGGAGATTAGAATATACCAATTTTATTTAGGTGAGCCGGAAACTTAGTATGATTGATTTTCATACGCGTGATCATGGAAACGTAAGCTTTGGAATGAGAAAATGAAAAATGATCTATACTATTGGGTAATTCTGGGTGAAGTTTGTAGTAATGACTATTTGAGGAACTTGCAGCCCTTTTGAAAGTTGTCTTCCATTTGTTTATCGTATTCCGCTTTCACATATATCTAAGCCCGTTAAACATTTAGATCTAGTTATTTAGCGAAAAATTGCAAAACTATGCGTTTTTGCAACTTTTGGGTGCTAAAAATCCATTTTTCCTATCGATGGCTATCAAAGCATTGTGTAACAAGATAATTTTGGGTTTGCGATGCTGAATTCACAAGTCGTGACGAAAAATGAAACATCATACACAAGACCGCATTTTAAGGGAGGTCTTCTATGTAGCATATTTTCCTCGAGGGCTTCATTAAAAATATAAGTTTGGAAATAAAAAACAATTCTTCAACACCATCAACTGGAGTGAACTAAAATTTGGTATGTGGATTTACCTAAGTATTGTCCACATTCAAAAGTCTTTACTTAACATTAACGTGCACCAGTCGCGGAGATGCAGGGGATTAGTGGCATTATTTTTCCAAATAAAAATAGTACGTCACTGTTTTTTTTTTCGAAACGCGCAATTTTTCGAATTTTACTTTCAATTTGATACAAATAATTACTCTTGTATTTTGTCCTAGAGTGCAAGATAATCAAAGCTTTATTTCAATAGATGTTCAAAAAGACCACCATTCTGACGGATACAAGTGCGTCATCTTTTTAATAAAGAAAAACGTATACACTAGTTGTTTAAAAGCGCCCCACAAAAAGAAATCCAGGGGATTCAAATCAGTAGACCTCGCAGGCCAATGTACGATTCCATCTCTGCCAATCCATCTTTGTCTAAAATGATTATTCAACCATGCGGTTATGTCACGTCGAACATGCGGAGGGGCAGCGTCATGCTGATACCATATTCGTACTCTCGTTGCTAATGGAACATCATCTTCTAACACATTGTCTATGTAATTCTCTAGAAAACGTAAGTATGCCATTGCATTTAAACGTTACATAAACAGTTGGCCATTGAAAATTTCCAGAAAATCTATGTTGAAACGAGTGAATTCTTACAGAACGGGGATGTTACAACGACCAAATGTGTTCATTATGAGAATTAAAGGTTCCACTACTCGTAAAAAGCGATTTATCTGACCACAAAACCAAATCAATAAAATCTGCATCTTGATTATGCATATGCAGTAACCACTCACAAAAATTTCGCCGTTGCACTTCGTCGCCGGCTTGCAAACATTGCACATTTTCCCGACGGTAAGGTCGTAAAACTTCCCGTTTTAAAATTCACAACGCACGACTTGGGAAAGTGGTAATTGGGCTGCAATCTGGCTAGAACTTGTACTAGGATTATCCAACGTCAAAATAATCACTACCAGTTCCTCTTGAACAGTATGCTGGACACCATGGCCTCTAACTCCCGAAGTTTGGCAATTCCATCGTAAAAACCTTTGCGTTAGGTTGGCGTCTGTTAGCAAATCTACATTGATACTCGCAAGAAGCCGCTAAAGCATTTCCATTACAGAACCCGAACACAAAAATAATATCGGCACACTCATCATTGCTGAATTCCATCTCACAATACTCAAAAATAGACAAAAGAAACTTTTGACTTGACTTTTACAACAAAAAATAAATTGATGTATCTGATAATTTGAATCATATTCTTCACACATAAAGAATAGTTTTATTTTTGTTTTTCATGTTATAATGTATGTTAGAAAGAGTGCGCGGATAGCATCCGTAACCTCGTACTCGGGTTACTAGGCAACGAAGTGGTTCTATCTCTTTCTAACACACGTACTGCACGCTTCTCTCGCGTACACATTACCAGGTCAGTGGGATTCAGTATCAAGTATAAGTGAGCGAGGAAAAACAGCTTGCGATATGTAATGAACATATGTAGTTATATGTATATCCAATGCAAGAACCGACTAACTCCATTTTGATAAAAATTGAATTGGCCACATTTTTGAAATTTTGCATTTTTAGCTTCATTTTACAGAGAAAGATTCCAGAACTGTAGCGCTTTGTAAGATATTCTAATATATTCATGTAAAAATGTATCAAACTCGTTGGGCTAACTTGACTTTGTCATGTATTATATACTATAGGTGATTGATACATCCGTATATTATGTGACTGAGAATGATATACCAAGTTACTTCTATGTGATCATGAAATAAAATAAGAAGCATTTGATTTGAACAATAATCTGTACAAAGCAGCACATAATTGAAACAACAAAAATTACACAAAATTATGCCAAAAATTAAAATAAACCATAATATACTAAACATATTTATTACAACAAAGAACATCACCAAATATTTAAAAATGTCATGAGCCTTCATACCATTTTGACTTTTTAGCAGGAGGTGCACTTAAAATCCTTTTATACTCATTCACCATCTTCGAAAAACTATCTTGCTCAGTCTTCTTATTAATCTTCTGCCTGGGCTGCTTTGTGAATTCCTTCCTCTTCTCCCCGAGAGTTTTCTTTTGATTCTTCTTCATCTTCTTTGCCTTCTTCACGTTCTCATAGTGCATTTTTGCCTGAGTAACCAACTTGTACCTGCTTCTCATTTTCTCGACCTTCCCTGGCTCTGTAGGTACTCCAGAGTAACCTGGCAATTCAGCTTCACCAGAAGCCTTAATTTTCTCTGCTGACTGGTGTTTTTTCTGAATAAACCTCTTATCTTTGGATTTACTTACATCTCGTGGTTTGAAATCTTTACTTGTAGGGTTGTACATCCTGGATTTTTCTAATCTTTTTTGCTTTGCTTTTATCATGACTTTATTTTCTATACTAAAAGATATAATGGGTCGTTTCTGTTGGGCAAATATGTTAGGATTGTTGTTCAGGCTTCTGAGTGCTTTAAGGGCATGTTCATGTTTTGTGAATGACACAAAACCATATTCCTTTGACTTTCCTAAGCCATTTGCATCTAAGTTCTGCATGTCTCTCATTACTCTGGCCTCTATGATCACAGCTCCTTCTCCAGCATGTTTTTGAAATAATAGCTTTAGTTTCTTGTCATCCCAAGTAGATGGTAAGTTATGAACTATTAGGCGCTCACGTGAAATGAACATGTTCAGATTTCGAAGCACTTGGGTTTTATACTGCTCTATTTGTAGCCTTTTTGCCATATCTGTTGGTGACACACCATGTGCTGCTTTGCTGCCAGCAAGTATCACTGAAAAGTAAAGAATGCATGAACATTCACATTCAGGTACATTCTAGCATATGTAGAAACAATGAAGTAAAAAGATTTTCTTCGACTATCTGATGGTACCAAGGAATTTGAATCTCAAAGGATGGTGTCTAATGAAACTATAACTTTGACCTTGAAAATGAACTCAAATTATTTAACATTTAAATGACAATAGACATTTTGGTAATTTAGACTTTAATGGTCAGCAACAAAAATAAATAAAAAAATATTACAATTTACAATGGAAATAGTGATCTTGGTTTCCCACCATCCTGTTATTTTCTGACAAAACATACCTCCTTCTTTAACTAGATAGAGATTTCTGTTATCTTTAGACCCCTTGCTTGCTTCCTTTTTCTCCTTTGCTTTTTTCTGAACCTCATCTCTATGTAAAGCTGGATGACAATCTAATATATTTCCTAGCAGTGTCAGTTCAGTACCTGCACTTAAAGCTTTATCTGCATCTTCTTTATTCTGTCAAAAGAAACATATATATTATTATCAACCTTATTGAGGGATTTGGTTGCTTTTTAAATTTCTATACTGTGGTATTCACCACCAGAATCACATACAGATCTTAACCACCAATCACCCCAAATTGAAGTCACCTGGTATTATAAAATTTTATTACAACTAATCATGTTTGTCTTTATATACTTATAAACAAAGCAAAATGAAAATGTACTATGAGGAATGTACATATTTTTACAAGTACAAAATAATTCAAGTAAGTGTACTTACTACAAACTTTACAAATGCTGTTCCCTTTGAATGCTCAGTTAACTTATCAACACATATGAGGGCATAGTAGACAGGTCCATATTGTAGCATACACTGCTTGAGATCCTCTTTGGTTGCATCAAAGGGTACATTCCTCACAAATATTGTCTTCCCCTCGGTTACATCGTTTGATACTCTTTTAGGTTTATTATCATCCTCATTTTCCTCAACGTAACTTTTACTATGACTATTGTCTTCATCATCACTTATTTCTTCTTCACTACCTTCACTGTCTCTATTCTTATCACTATCCTGCATATTTTGCTCAAGTGAACCTTCAACGTCATCTAGGGATACCATAGTTTGGTCCTCATCATCTTCCTTTTTGATTTCAACCTCAGGCTCAATTTTTACTTCAACTTTATTGTATTTATTTTTAGCCTTAGCAAAGTCTACTACCAAGTGCCGTCCTAAGAATTCTTTCCCATTAGTATGATGCTTAGCTTTTGCAGCTTTCTGTACCATTTCAAATTGTACAAAGCTACAACCAACCAATTTTCCATCTGGCTTCTTCAGCAGTTCAACATTTTCTACTTTGCCAAATTTTTCAAAGTATTCCTTCAATTGCTCCTCGTTAACTTTGAATGGTAAATTTTTTACAATAAGCCGAGCTCTTTTCTTTCTAAGTAATTGCTTGGCCAACTTCTTTCTCTCTCTTAGCTTCTCTTTTACAACTTCTTTTGGTAAAGGATTCCTTTTTTCTACAAAAAAATAATTGTGTTAGTATCGAGACAGAAGGAGAATTTCACATATTAACAATATAAACTGCTTACTTGGCTGTTGTGACATTGCTGCTTACTTGTAAGTTTTGTTTTTGAAAAATGAGCCCTAAAACAGTAAAACGTGAGTCCGATTTGTATTTATAACCTCAATCACTCAACTCCAAATGACAGTTTGTGAAACGGAACGGCCGCTACAACATGATTGTTCTATGTCAGTTTTGTCTGTTAGCAGAGGTGCGTTCATAAATCACATGGCAATGTAATAGGGATTTTGACATATAAAACCGGTCCCACACGATGTGACTAAACTAGTGGTGGGTAATCAATACTTTTGTAAGTATCGAATAGATACCGATACTTTATCTGTAAGTATCCCATACTGAGTATGCAATACCGATACCAAGTATCGGCTCGATTAATTGCCGTTAGAATCCGTTAATTTAATACTGCTAGTCTCAAATAATAATAATAAATAATAATAATCCTGTTCCTGTCTTTATGTCGCTGATCCAGGCCCCGACCTTCGAATTTATTGATCACTGTTTGTTTACTCTTATTATGCGGTCTCGGTCTCCTATAAGTAGGTATCATCGAGTATAGACTAGATATTAGAAATAACTGATGAGTAGTGATGAGCGATACCCTGAATCTTGAATTACATTGCTATATTTGTTATTGTTACAATATTGGTTAAAAATAAAATATAAATTCTGGGCTTTTGTAACCAGAAATTAATTTCAGCCTTTTGCTTCAGTTAAGTGTTAGAAATCAAAATGAAACACTTTAATTCCCAAAAGTTCGCCTATATTCAATTGACAACCGGAACGTGCAACAACCCAAAAATCGTATTCAAATTACCAATCTCGTAAGACTGCCTTAGTTTTTTATCCTTTCGGTTCTCAATACCTAAGATCTATAAATAGTCAGATTGTCAGTATTTATTACAGTATTCGATACATTTATCAAAAAGTATCGGATACTTCTGACTTCGGAAAGTATCGGATCTTTTGTATCGGATAGATACTTTTTGTCCACCACTAGACTAAACGCTTAACAACGATGGGCACACGGCATGTGTCCAACGTTCGCCATATGACAAGTTCGGGCTCTTGTCAGTAAATTTGACCCGCGTCAAAGGATGTTACAACGTTGGAAGCATGGTTCGTTACGATCCCACACGAGATGTCATGTGCTTCATGGTTTTAGGTTAGAACCAGTAGCGGCGAAAAACATTATTTACTTATTTGATTTGAATACCTACCTATTCATGTACCTTCCGTAACTATCGTTTTAAGAGAATGAATTAAATTAGTATACATGCAAAGCATAGACTGTCATAACAACACTTTTTTCATATTGCTAATATTTTGTACGTATCGCAGGTGAGTTATGGCTGGCCTAATTATATGTATTTTAGTAAATTATAAATTATCAAGTGCTTCCAGTTGTTTCATTATAATGTCCTGTTGCAATGCAAGACTAGTAGAAATATATTGACTTGCATGTCATAACTAACGGAAACGATTAAATAAATGATAACTCTGAAAGTACTATCAAGATTTTGATGAAATTCCTACCCAAGCTTACTACTGAAACTGATGAAAAAGGTCTGCAGTTTTTGAAAATCGGTACAGTGGCGGCGGAGTCTTCATCGAAAAACAAACAAAAAACGGTCGACATTTCTGAGGTTTCTGACAGATTTAAATTATGGTCGCTGAAGACAGATCTGAAATTATTTTTCGGCGCTCGAAAAAATTGTTTCATCGTTAATTTCTATAATTTTTCCTTCAGTTGTAAAGGTTCAACCGCGACACTGACACCGATAATTAACGTTGGCGCCACCATGTGTCGAGCGTCCGAGACTAAAAGGTTCATTCCCTCGTGTAGGAGACACACTTGCCAATTTTGGGGTGTCGAACGTTCTAAACAACGTTGTATGCAACGTTGGAAGCATCGTGTGGGACCGCATAACATGAAGTTGAATCAAGCGAGCGATTGGTAAATACTGGGAATATGCCCTAGGTCATCACTAGGTCAGATACCTTTACGTAAAAAAGTGACCGAAATGATGCGCCTAAGATGAGCCGGTCGAGCCTGTACTGTTAAAATCTGCGACTTTTGGGGGTTATCAGTTTGTAGGAATGTTTTTGTTGAAATGCCCTTATTATCAACAAAAAAATATGAGAAAAACTGTGCTGTTCCTGCTAAGAAGACGACTTTCAACCACTAGAGACATTTGGCTTACCACAATATGGACCTTCATCCAAATATATCGTCGTCGTAGATCATGATGAAGAACAGTTGAGGAAAACATTCAATGACTATTTACTCCATATCCACATATCTGAGGATTCCAAAAATTTTGATTTATAATGGAAGAACATGTAAAAAGCAAAAAAAAAGTCGGACGCCAGAGGGCTTCGTTTGTATAGGTTTTAGGTGCTGAAAAGTCTGGAGGGGATAAAAACGACTCTGTGGCTAAGGGCCGTATCGTCAGTCGTTCCTACAGTTATTGTAGAACGCCTTTATGCTTTATGTCTTTCTTTATTTTCATAGACCTTCCTCTCTTTCAGAAGGTCTGGAGTATTTCTAGATTTCTATTGTTCCGTGACAGCGTCAGCGCTCTCCTATTGTCAGGCTATGTTTTCTTCTTGAATTGGACATTTCAGGACATATAACAGATGATATAAATCAAAAGTATGAACAATTTGATGTAAATAGATATTTGTAACATAACCACAAAATAGAGCGCCGACATGGGAGAGTAGAAAACTATGAAAATCAAGGAGTCCATAAAGGCGTACAATTGTAGGAACAACTGACGATCCTGCCCTAAGTAAACACATAAATTTAGAAACGTCATTAAGCTGTTCCCGCCAAGAAATGTTTTGCTGCCCTTAGTATGGATCGCACACACTCTGGCGCTCAAGTCACTTTTATTTCAAATCGCCACCTACAGAGGGCGCTGTATCATGGGGAATTTGAAAGATAAACCTTTTCATCAAAGCCTCATCCTGCTTGAGTTGTCAAAGGAATAACTTAACGAACGCAGCCTTGCTCGTTGATCGTTATTTCCCTGTATAATCAATTGCAAGCGGATAACCAAATGAAAATGGTATTTACCATTTTGGGTTGGTATTTACCGATTCGTTTAAGTGAGTGTGGTTATCAGCTTGGTTTATGATCCGTGACGTCATGAATCAGCTGTTATATGTCATAGTTATCACCGCAAAATTGTGGTATTTACCCAACTCCGGAGTAGTTTTATATTTCTGGTTATTATTTGAAATGTGACAAGTTAGAATTTTGCCGTGTATTGGATATTGTTATTGCACTTCAGCTTCATTTTTGGGAAACTTGATACAGGCTGACTTCAGTTTTACCATAAAGTGGAGCACCTTATTAGTTATACTCATTACTGTTGTTGGGGACATTTTAAATGTAGTTCCTAAGCTGAACAAAGTATCATGTGTAGCCATATACCACAAGAATATTAAAATATGGCCATATAAACTCACTAGATGATGTCCACCTGTATACGGTTTTGCTAATTTCTTTTTTCATCATTTCTACTGAATCAATAAATGTTTTCTTTGACATGCGGAAAAGGTTTCTTATTTAATCTTCCCAAACACAGTTGTAGACGAAAAAGCACCGATTATTAAGTGATAATAAAAATAATCAGAGATTATATACGCGCTTTTATAAAATAAAAAACTTGCAACAAAACCGCGGTTAAAACCAACGCGTTCAAGCGGTTCGTGTAACTGACGTCATCAACCCGTGTGTCATCTTGAACCATAATTATAACCGCGGCACATAACACAGAAATTTTGGTTATTGGCTTGGATTTGATTTATGTTTTATTTCTTGTCATTTGTCCCGTCATTGAAAATTTGAAAAGCCCATGGCTCATGTGCATTTTTGTCCTAGGCTGTTTTGATCAATAATAAGAAAGATGGAATAAGTTGATTTTCTGAGATAAAGCATTAGTATACTAGCTAAATTCTTGACGATTACATTACAGCAATGCTTAAAGTATATCGTGTTTCCACATTTATCATCATTTTGTAGTTTAGTATCACATAGTGAAATATTCCAGAACTCTTATATTTTTGCTCATTTTCAGTCCTATATCTTTCATTTGCACCCAAACGCTAGGGTCAGATATTTTTTCATCAAAAACGGCTGGTGCAGTTGAGCTAGACTTGCCAACTATAATAAAATGTCTGTTGAAGATGGTGAGTACTCTCTATCAATATGAAATACAACAAATACAACCTATACAAGCAACATTGTTGTATGTTAGATTGTCCTCCTTTGATGGAAGGTGCTACTGGAGGTCCAAGCATTGATGATGATGATTCTGATGGTTGGGATGAGATGGAAGTTAATGGTGAACAGACAACATGCCTCTTCTGTTCCCTACAGTTTCATACAATTGCTGTAGCCTTAGATCACTGTCGAATAGCTCACAACTTTGATTTGCTACAATTAAAGAATAAGTATAACATGGATTGCTATTCATACATAAAAATGATCAACTATATCAGGTTGCAAAGACCTGATCCTAAAATATTAACTGACTCTTCAGTAGCTCTTTGGGATGATGATGTTTACTTGAAACCTGGTGAAATGGAGCCTTGGCTGATGTATGGTAAGGGATACATATATAATTTTGAAGATTAGTATCATACAAATATTGCTTCCATTTTATTCTCTTTATTCATTTATCAGGCATTTTTAAGGGCATGCCAGGTATGTTTAACTTATTATTTGGATTCATGCACACTTGATGCATTATTAATCATTGTATCAAATTATTCAATAGTTATCAAAGTTCTCTAGTACATGATGAACCTTTATATCAGTATTTATTCCTAGCTTGTTAGAAATGTTCAATGTAGGTATCACATGAGAGCTGCCAGAATGCAAATGAGAATTGGATACAAGTTTATTGATAGAATAGTTATAGATCCACTAAACTTTAGTACTTGCTCATCATGTACTAAGTACATGTTTCTGATATGAAATGAACTGGTAAATGATACTGTTTGCTGATTATTTCACCAATACTTATAATAATTTATAGGATAGAGTACTATGCTGCAAATACATGTAGCTATTTTTTGTAGATTTTGATGACCTGGGTAGTGCTCCATCAACTCCTCATTATGCAATAGAAGGGAAAACACCAATAAGTCATTTAAATTTTTCTGATCTTCAGAAGCAAATCCAAGATTTGACAATGCAGGTTGGTCTGTGCAAATTGCTTGAAAGATTAATTAAAAACTCCAGTGTGAGGTCTTAAGTCCATTTTTAGTTAAG